TTTGTGTTACAGAGCTACCTCTGCCAATTGCTGAAGGCAATTTCCTTCTGCCATCTCCGTTGTATATTGCACAGAGACTTAAAACCGCAGAATCTATTGATAGATCGAGAGGGTCATATTAAATTGGCCGACTTTGGATTGGCCAGAATGATCGGTGTACCTGTTCGCACTTATACTCACGAAGTTGTCACGCTTTGGTACCGCGCACCAGAGGTTCTCCTAGGAACTAAATTGTACACTTGTGCGTTAGACATATGGAGTCTCGGTTGTATATTTGCGGAAATGGTATGTGAAGATTGCGCGAGAGTTACCTGAGTCTATTGAATATTGGAGTGAAACCGCGGTGTCTGCAAAATAATACAATCTTTATAGGCAACCAGGAGAGCTCTGTTTCCCGGAGACTCTGAAATAGATCAGTTATTTAGAATATTTCGCATGCTCGGTACCCCAGACGAAACGATCTGGCCGGGAGTGTCACAGCTTCCGGACTACACTTCTAGATTCCCAAGATGGGAGGCGTCTAACATAGACGATATTTTACCGACTTTTGATGACGATGCCAAAGACTTAATTTCAGTAAGGAAAAACCAGCATCTACCTCGCGAAAAAGTGCGCATTTTTGTATACACTTATATTTTTTTTATGTTTTTAGAAAATGCTGACCTACGATCCTAATCAGAGGATAACGGCAAAAAGAGGATTGACTCATCCTTATTTCGCTGGGGTTAAATTAGTTCCACCTCCACTGCCAAAAAAATATTAATGTACATTTATATGATCAATTGAATTTACTGTATTTTTATAGGTTTTTACATGAAACTTAAATGCGAAATAATTTTGGATGGAGATAACTTTATACTGCGAATGTGTGTTCGATACTATCAATCTAAAAGTACGATATAATTTAAATATATTTTTACTATAAATCTCACGTATATATTAATTTTTGATTTGTCGATATCATTTGTCTTTCATATCCTTTTCATCCATTTCCCATTCATTGCACAATGATGTATGGAGTTTAATTATATTTTTCAATAATTATATATTGCATATAGCTTTTTATTTAGGTATAGTTTCCCAAATTGTGCGTAGTTTTAAAAGATAAATTATTAATTCTTATCAAGCTATTGAAAATGTTTTAAAAAATACTGACTTATAATGTCCAAATATATACTGAAAAATAATAGAATTTCGGTCAGTTTCTTTTGTGATTTAAGAATAACAAAGTAAAACGTTAAATCATTTATATTTGAATACGTTTCCCATATCCATTAATCTTCTACATACAGAAATTATAGAATTGGAAACGTGAATTAATTGGAAAAATAGGACTTGCAGATACAAGTCCCCGTTCCATTTCTCCTCGAATTATTATTTTATTTATGAGCCAATTCGATTGAAATTAGTATTCCTAAAATAAAAAAGTTTATCTTAGAATTATAGTTAATAAAAAGAAGATAACTGGTTCAGCAAGTGTAGTTTGTTGACTTTCCTATCGTTATTTTTTCTAAGTTATTAATTAAATTCTTATTTTTATGAAATAAATAGAATGCTTCAGATCTCGTGGTTACTTTCGTACATGAATGTTTAAAAATTAATTTAATAGTTTTTATTTATATGAGATTATAAATTAAGTTTTAATCAAATTTGTTCGAGAAAAGCTCAGTTTGAAATCATTCGCAAACGAGAGAACCTGCGAGGAGTCTGTGACATCCTGTACTAAAGTGCTAGAAAGCCTGTTTTTGATTCGATAGCTCGATCTAGTATGCCATTCGGGCGGATTGCGACGATGGATGCTCAATCAATTTCGGTAAAGTGATTTTCTGATGAGTTTCGGCAATCGCTAGATTTGCTTCTTGCGATATCGGCGAAGATGTGAGTTTCGGAAGATGCAGCTCCTTGGGGGATGAAGTTTTCCTCGGTGTGCGGGGGGATACTCTATTAGGTGTACCGGGAGACGTTTTTCTAGGTGTCTCAAGGGAAGATTTATCGCTGGCGGATCTAATGCGTAAGCTGCTAGGTGGACGCGGAGAAGTTGGTGATTTTCCTGATGAATAACCTTTCGGCATGCCTTTGCTGTTCGTCACGTCTGGCGAGGGTGTTTTGGATGCGCGTCCGTTTGTGAGGGTTGGCCCCCCTGTTTCCTGCATGAGTTGCCCTCTAGGCGTCGTGGCTTCCGGAGATTTAGCCAATCCGCTTCTAACGGCTTGGGGTGTCACGACGGACGAAGGTGACACAACGCCATGCGTTTTGGTTGGCGTCGAGGGCGGCGGTTGAGGCTGGGGTATCTCGTTGTTCCCGATCTTTGAATTTGACTCATCCTGCACGGAAGTTCGAATCTGAAAAGAATCACAATAGTCATTTATATATAAATGTGTTCAACGATGGAAAGATGAGTCATAGATTTAGGTGCATCTAGTAATGTCGTCATCGATCACTTAGCGAGCTAATAACTCGATGCACCCCATTGTTATATAATATATGTGCAAACTGACCTTGATTGGCAGGCGGTGAATGGTAGCGATGCTTTGCGGATCTTGAGTGAATTGTACGTGAGGGTGAAGTACACGCTGTGCGTATTATCCTTTTAAGTAAATGGCAATTTTCTAAATACTTCTAAGTAGATAAGGTATCGATAAGGAAGGACTGAGGAGCTATTCGTGTTTGTCAGTACACATTCGTGCTAAACTGTAGCAGAAATCAGGGTCGATAATAAATTTTCGTATTGTAAATCTTGCACGCACGAAATAGTTCATTTTTAACTGACAGGCCTGCGAAGTCGAAGCTTTCTAGTGCTTGAAATGATATATTAAGTCTCATCATTCTATATTTCAAATGATATAAAAAGAAATTAATTTTAACAGAATTTCGAAAAAATTTGTTTATATTTATTCATTAATTTTGTTTCTTCAATAGAAGATAATTAAATATAACGCCTAATTCTGAAAATAGAAATTTCAATAATTATTAGATATAGAAAGCAAATATTTTTTATATTTACAAATAGTACAAATTTTCATTACTTTTAATTTTTTATTTTTTTAAAGAATTGCTCTTATAACGTTAATAAATTAGAAATTTAAGTAGATTATATAAGATTTTAATGGACCCTAAAAAGAATATAATCAAAGACTCTTGCTCCTGGATGTTACCTATCGCGTGACAACTGTTACACATATTTTTTGTTGCACATTTTTAGTATTTGTATAATAAGACTAAATAGTTATGTTCTAAATGAGTATTTTCTATAAAGATAAATAAAGATAGATTCTTATGAAGATAAAAGAAGATGCAGCCGCTTCTTTCTCAGCAAGAAAATTGAGGGGAGGATGTGTTCAGGTGTTGAGAGACAAAGAATAAATTTAAAAACAAAAATATTATTATAATGTCTCTCCAGAGCGATCCTAATCCAAGATTAACGCGCGGACGCGTTGTTACACTATTGCAATTGTGGTAACTTATGACAATTACGAAGAAACGTTAATTATCATTCTCTATCTTCGTGAAATATCGCAGCATGTTAATTGAATCAAATTATCTCTTAATAATTCATGTGGAAGCAATACAGTGTAAAATAATGTGTTACATATCTCCCCCTCTTCCCTTCTTTTTTTCTCTCCTTTTAGCGATGTGAAATTGCACGAGGTATCTAAGGTAGTGTAGTGACGTAAGTGAGAGATTTTTATTTTTGGCGTGGCCGCAATAATTCTCCATCATCGATCTCTCTTTTCCGTTGACAAACATTCACCCTTAACACTGATCATTTCTCGATGGCTCTTTTTTTTCGCACTAGCGATATTTTATATATATATATATTATATATACTCGTGGGATGCAATGTGTTGATTACGTATCTACAGTAAGGGTTACACGAATATCTCGTATGTCTTGTCGTCTAAGCGCAATCTCTTTAATCAAATGTATCTGACCCAAATGTATCTGACGGGTGTCTCACGCGAACACGTCGCGATTCATCTGCGTGTTACACGGCTCTTCTGGCACTTTCCTCTCCTCCCTCGCAACCTCGTTGCACCGAACATATCTTGGATAACTCCGCGCATAAAGCTCTGACAAAGTGTTCCGTTTCACGCATGATGTATCTTCTCTAAAACTCTTAGAGTGCGTCTCATTCTGAAGAATAAAATCATTCTCAAAGATTGAAAATTGAGTCACTCTTTATCAAGATTTTTTTATCAAAAATGGCTCAATTTTCACTCTTTATGAAATAAGATTCTATTCCAAAGAATTTATTAATTAAAGGAGTTATTTTATCCTTGTGTGCTTGGGTTCTTTAATATTCGATGAACAATAAGGATGAAATGATATATTATGCGCATTATGCGTGAAACGGAACGCACTCAATGAGACATAACAATGCAATTTTTTTTTGTATCGTAATCGTGGCTACAATACATACTTATGTTGTAGCGCATACATATTTATGGCGCAAAAAGCTAAGTTATCCATGATGAACTGAAAGCCGACGTAACGCTTGTGGCTTTCTTTCGATTCATCTACACGTCGATCAAGATTGCTATAGTCTTCCATCTCCTCAGAAATCGTTAGATCGACTACGTGTCAAAGATTGTTCACGTGAACGGTAACTACATATCGTCGTTCGCGATTTAACTATTCGGGATGGCGTATGTACCCCGTAATTCCGGTGAAATGCAACGTACGCATGATATCGAGGGATTGTCGGCTGTTAAGACTTCCTCATGCGGAAATTAATGTTCGCGCGTTTATCTAACGTCTATTCCCCCTAAGAGAACGCGATGGTTCTTCCTGCGCATAACGATGGGTATGTGTGATTTTTGTACTTTCATTGGAATCTACTACAGATATGAAAGCGAATATGACACTAGTGATAAATTAAGTAATAAGAATAAAATTTACCCGCGAAATTGATTGGCAATATTATAAAGTAAATTTAAAAAATTATACATTCTTATCATCTGCAAAATAAAATTTAGGAGTATTTAGCTTTAAAGACATTTAAAGCTAATTTATAATTATATTTGCTCTATTCTTTGTCGATAGCTTTATCGCGTATCTTCACGCGTATTAACTTCTTAAGCGATTACGTCCTATTACGATATATTGAAAAATACATTAAATTGTATGAGACAACTAAACTGCAATTCGTGATATATGTTGATTATGGCATAAATGCATATCAAAAATCGAAAAAGTTCGCAAATATTAATATTCGTAGCGAGGGCGCATGAGAAATGCGTCGACATAATGATTTAGAAATCGCAAAGATGTATCGTGACAGAAATCTTTGATAAAAAAAAGATCTATCGCTTAAAGCTTAAAAAGACAAAGAACTTCCTTGCGCATAGAGATTGTTCCTCAAATCTGTTCTTCGTATATTACAAAAATGAGAAATATTTTTCTCAGTTCTTTTGTTTTTTTATATAATTATCTTATGATTTGCGCACTTACGTAAATATTTGGATAAAGAGTGTTTTCACACAACGCACAATGACGTATTCGCTTTATCTCTCTTTAAAGATAACTAAAATCGCTGTAAATGCGAGATGAAAGTACTCGGGAACCTCGTGTTCGATAAGAAATCATCGCGATAATTGCCTTAAATTGTTGATTTAATAACTTAATTCGTCCGTCGCGCAAATTTTGTTTTCGCTTGCGTAGACGAGATATCGATTGTGGTGCTCATTTTTTCGAAAAGTTCCGTGCACCGTATATTTCAACGTTTTTTTCGATTGCGCAAGGACAGCGTTCGTTCGTCCTCCAAAGGGAGTAGATGGATAAACGTGATTAATCACATGCAAATGATATAATTAAAGCGGGTCTATCGGCCGACTTTTCGTGACCTAGCATTCCTGGTTCAGGTTCTCGTCCGAGGCTGGCAGGCCGTTCTTGCCGGTGATCGCGCCGGAGGGCACGGGGCTCTGCGGGCACAAGACACGATATCAGGATTAAGCCTGCAGCATCCTTGCGAACTGAATAAATCGACTGATGCTCGTTTCTATCAATGCAGATTAATTTTAATCTCGGTTCAACTAACTCTTTATCTTTTTCTAAAATAAGAAGAAGATAAAAGTAAATTGAATCTAGATTAAAGTTAATCTACATTGATAGAAATGGGCATGAGTGAAATAAATAAATATCCTTTAATGCACGTTAACTCTTTCAGGCTGTGCGACAGGCTAGCATTTCATCAATATTGCCATTAGACATTATTTTAATAATTTAGATAGTTTTAAAAGATTTTTCCATAAAACAAATTTTCCTATCATTTCATGCGGCTTATCCTGATTAATTGCGCATAATCCGTAATAGTATTGCACTTATCGATTCAGAATGTACTTCTTCTAAGTAACTAACTTCTAATTTATTAATTATTTCTTCAGTTTCTCTTTTTTGCGAATGAAATTTAGAAAGAAAGAAATACAATTGCATTATGATTAAATTTAACCTTTAGAGGGTAGGAGTCTATTTTTTAAATTTTACAGCTTTTCCTTAAGTAAGAGTAAAATTTGTTATAATTTATTATTTCATTGTAGTCTGCTTCAAAATATAACTCTTTCAGTGCCATCATTGTGGTTTACTATCCTGTAAAGGTTAATTTAGAATGCAAAATTAATGATCCTTAATATCTGTGGAGACCGCAATTACGTAATCACGAGAGATGCATTTTTGCGAAGGTAACAACCAGTAGAAATAGAGAAGTTCAATAAAGAATAAAATTTTGCGGTCAGAAATATTATGAAACATTTAACAAATAAATTCTTTATCTCGGAGACCAGTCTTATCGAAAACTGTTTTAAATAATTTCTAAGATAATATTTCCAATACAATATTTCAAATGTTTTTCATTATATGTACGCATTATATTTTTCGCAATTATTTATCTATCAATGCGAGCTAGTATTTAAATGTGCTGTGTATGCCATTGTGACTATGCATGCAACGCGTGTTTAAGCACATTGGTGCAGATTAAATGCGAAAAATCTCGAGAAGAAATGTTGTCTAACTGGAACTTTTCATCATTGCGACATGTTTCTTTGCAAAAAAAATAGAGACATCCTACCGCGTAAAAGGTCTCAAGAGAGAAGTAATGAAGTAACAAAGTTCCATGATGAAATTACATTCTCAAGACTTTTTTACTTTGCAGAAAAAATATACCTGAGACCCGCTGCCATTCAAACTCTCAACGTTGGAACTCGTCTGCCGAAGATAATCTCTGTCGTTGAAAATTTTTTTGTCGCCACCACCCGGCTTGTGCTTTACGTTGTCCAACGAACCGATCTTGCTTTCAGCCTTGATGTCTAATTTTTGCGTCGGGATCTAAGAAAATGACGAGTATTATTCATTTGATAATAAAATCCTATTTAATAAGCGGCTAGAGGAGAGTGAAAATAAAAAGCTAAAAGTAGAAGGTTTTTCTGTTTTTTTCACGTAATTATCAAACAAGTGATAATAGACCATTTTTACTATAATATTCATCAAAGAAATTAGATTTAAAAATACGATAACAGAAGTAACGATTGACCTAGAGTCTAAATAAATTTAGAAACATGCATAAATACATGCTTAAATCTTCCATCCAATGTACATTTTACTTACTCATGTCTATATCCGGCGATATAGATAGAACTTTACCACTTTATTGCAAAGTGATGATAAGCACATTTTGGTATCTCGTAAATCGTGGAGGTAAACTAGTTGATCTATCATGCTGATTATAAATAGTGATTTCCAGTGTGAGAATATCGATGTATAAAATATATGCAGTCACACGTTCGTAGAGTCTAGTTCTACTTATTTTTACTTCCACGATTTTGACAAAGTACAAGAAATTAATTTAAATCATGATGTCATGATCAGATGACAAAGGCCATAGCCAAAGAGCGGAGTGAGAAAGATAAAGAAAAAGCGACACATGATATATCTAATTTGCACTATTTGATTAGCTGTATGATATACTCACGTCATTCTTCGTTTCCTGCGATGTCTTTGGCGAAGTTGTGGACTGAACATCAAGAAATAACAATGGCTTGTTAATAATGACAATAGACAATACATGCTTGTACGAATTAGCTGCACAATTGGATTTTGCGGCTTCCAATGATAATATTTTTTAATTTTTGTATTTTAACAGAATTAACGATGCTCTTGACGGATCAACAAATGTTCTTTTTTTACTAAAAATTTCAGATTATTGTAAAATAAAATTAATAATTCCAATTATGGCTTTGAAAGTCATATACAATTTAGAATTATTAATTCTGCTTTAAAATCGTCAAAATATATAGCTGTTCTCTCTTGATGGATCATCATTCTTCTTTCAAAACTATAACTTCGTTCGGGATGTATGCATGTGTATGTGTGTGTGTGTGTGTGTGTGTGTGTGTGTGTGTGTGTGTGTGAGTGAGAGTGTGTGTGTGTGTGTGTGTGTGTGTGTGTGTGTGTGTGTGTGTGTGTGTGTGTGTAATATATGTAATATATTTTACTATCTACGCCAGCATTCCGCATGCAATGAAATTTGGACTAGCGCATTACTAAATAATTATCTCGGATATTTTTATGACATAAAATGAACGAAGCGAGCATTGCATTTGTAATGCATTCTATGCCAATTAAGCTTCTGTCACCGAACCAGCTATCTGTGAATCATTTGAGGATGAGGATTTATGTGATGACTTTCTGTAGCAGTAAATATATAGTATTATTGCTTCTTCGTTCTTCAGGATTGCCAAAAGTAAAGTACTAACAAATACAAATGTGAATGTAAACGCATACATATAAATGCATGCAATAGATTATTAAAATTTCTTTTAGGGATTAATCGCTTGATGCAGAGAATAACATGAACGTGCTAATATTAATTAAAACATCATTAAAATTAAAAAGAATGATACTTAATATTTGAACTAAGGATTTTGATTAACTGAGAATCTTAATGTTTACAAGAATATATTAAAACAATAAAAAAATTGATTAATATGCTAAAAAATTTATGTATATTTATAATAAAAATCGATTTTAAATTACAACTGATGTCTAACAATCTACTCCAATGAATCTCACCTTGACAGTGCCACCACCAGGAACATGCTTCGCGTTTTCTTTGGATCCGACTTTTGGCTTTGCTTTGTCCTTGAAGTCGAGTTTTACAGTTTCGATTTTCTTGTCACCACCTCCCGGTTTGTAAGTTGCGTTCTCCAAGGAACCTACTTTGGACTTCGCATTCCATTGAAGTTTCACTTGAGAGATCTGTAATTTCATGACATCTGTGATGCGTGTTCGCTTCTCAATCTTACTTTCGATTAGGACTGTTACTTTTAACAACTTCGAAGCTTCGAAAGAATTCGAATTCTTCCTTCGAAAGTTATCTTTGAACTGTCGAAGTTAAAATGCCTTCGAAATTTCAAAACTTCGAAAAATATTTGTAATAGACATATATAATATTTGTAAATGTATTTGTATATTAAATTAATTTATATATACATATACATAT